CCAACATCATCTTAAAAATCTCCAGTGTTGGAGCATTCACAACTTCTGGAGGCAAGTGGTTCCACTTATTAATTGTTCTGTCAGGAAATTTCTCCTTAATTCCAGGTTGCTTCTCTCCTTGATTAGTTTCCACCCATTGCTTCTTGTCCTGCCCTCAGGTGCTTTGGAGAAGAGCTTGACTCCCTCTTCTTTGGGGCAGCCCCTGAGATATTGGAAGACTGCTATCACGTCTCCCCTGGTCCTTCTTTTCCTTAAACTAGCCATGCCCAGTTCCTGCAACCGTTCTTCATATGTTTCATCCTCCAGTCCCCTAATCCTCTTTGTTGCTCTTCTCTGCACTCTTTCCAGAGTCTCAACGTCCTTTTTACATCGTGGCGACCAAAATTGAATGCAGTATTCCAAGTGTGGCCTTACCAAGGCATTTTAAAGCGGTATTAACACTTCACATGATCTTGATTCTGTCCCTCTGTTTATGCAGCCTAAAACTGTGTTGGCTTTTTTGGCAGCTGCTGCACACAGCTGATAAGATAAGAAAATAAAATAAAATAAAATAAAAAGATAAGATGAGATAAGATAAGATAACTTTTTATTGTCCCACATTAAAAATGAAAATTCTGTTGCCTGCTCTCAAGAGAAAGTATATATCTGCCCAGACACATACATAACAGATATATACACATGCTAATAAAGATATAGGTTCCTCTCGCACATATGTGCTAGTCGTTCCTGACTCATCTCCATTTCAAAGCCGAAGAGCCAGCGCTGTCCAAAGACGTGTCCGTGGTCATGTGGCCGGCAGGACTCAATGCCAAAAGGTGCACGGAACGCTGTTCCCTTCCCACCAAAGGTGGTCCCTATTTTTCTATTTGCATTTTTTACCTGCTTTCGAACTGCTAGGTTGGCAGAAGCCGGGACAAGTCATGGGAGCTCACCCCGTTACGCGGCACTAGGGATTCGAACTGCTGAACTGCCGACCTTTCGATCGACAAGCTCAGCGTCTTAGCCACTGATCCACTGTGTCCCTTACACATGCTGATATATATACATAAATACATACCTGCACCCACATGTATATATACACATATAGGTTAATCACTGCCCATTTTGAATACATAGAGGAAAAAGGAAACTTGAGAAGTTCATAAGGTTGATGCTCTGTGGAACGAATATTTCCCAAATATAAAGAAGGTTTTAGGTGCAGCCTGATTTGTGAATGCATATTACGCCGTTGCCCTCCCCCCCAAAACGGTTCATTTTTTTTAGATCAGGTTTCTTTTTGATCCATAGATTCTCCCAAGACCAGTCTGATTAGCAACTCTGCCTCCATTCCCAAGTAATATTGATAGGAAAAGAGACACATTTTCTGTTTTCATTCGTCCCCTTACAAGCATGAGAAGAGGAGAGGGGAGAGGAGAGGAGTGGAGTGGAGTGGAGTGGAATGGAATGGAATGGAACAGAAGGGAAGAGGAGATGAGGGGAGAGAGGAGAGGAGAGGAGAAGAGAAGAGAAGAGAAGAGAAGAGGAGAGGAGAAGAGAATAATGGAGTGGAAGAATAAGAAAGAGTAGAATGGTAGGGTAGGGTAGGGTAGGGTAGGATAGGATAGTGTAGAATAGGGTAGGGTAGAATAGAATAGGGTAGGGTAGGATAGATAGGATAAGAGAAAATAGAAGAATAGAATAGAATAGAATAGAATAGAATAGAATAGAATAGAATAGAATAGAATAGAATAGTTTATTGGCCAAGTTTGATTCGACACAAGGAATTTGTCTTGGTGCATATGCTCTCGGAGTATATAAGAACGGAGAACAGAGCGAGAAGGACTTCTGATTTAATCCAGCAAAGCTGGTATGACATTCTGATGCAAGCTGTGACTTTAGAGCTGCCCCCTGATTACCCAATGACCCATGTCGTTATTCTTTTAGCTGATGGATCAATTCCATCTGCATAGATTTGTCTAGGTGTGGGAGGTGGAGGGGAAACTTCAGAAGGAAGCTGTGATGCGGGATTTGGTGGTGCGCACTTAACGTTGGTGCATTGCAGAAACGTTCGAGTCAAAGGCAATTCCATTTCCCTCGTTTTCTCAGCAGTGGGAAGGCCTCTTCAGATGGAAGTTTGCCGGTTGCAGACTTTTTAAAAAAGTAACATTTTCCCCATCAGTTATTCTTGAACTCCTAGGGCACGCTGCTTATCTTCGTTTCTTGGCCGAGGGAAGACAGCGTTGTCCGAAGACAATTTCTGTGGTCGTGTAGCCAGCATGGCTGTACACCAAACGCACACAGAACGCTGTTGCCTTCTCACCAGCGTGGTACCTCTTTATCTACTCGCATTTGCATGCTTTGGAACTGCTAAGTAGGCAAGAACTGGAGCTGGTAACGGGAGCTACTAAAAAGTATAGATCACTTTTTGCCGATGGGTTCCATCAAACGTGGCAGTGCAGATCAATTTGTGCAAGTGGATTCCATCAAAATGTGGCGGTGAAGATCAGGTTTTGCTGGTGGGTTCCATCAAATGTGGCAATGTAGATCAAATTTTGCTGGTTGGTTCCATCAGATGTGGCAGTGCAAGATCAAGTTTTGCTGGTGGATTCCATCAAACATGGCAGTGTAGAACAATTTTTGCAAATGGATTCCATCAAGTTTTGTGGGTGGGTTCCATGAAATACGGCAGTGTACATCAAGTTTTGCTGGTGGATTCCATCAAACATGGCAGAGCAGATCAATTTTTGCAAATGGATTCCATCAAACATGGCAGAGCAGATCAATTTTTGCAAATGGATTCCATCAAGTTTTATGGGTGGGTTCCATGAAATATGGCAGCGTACATCAAGTTTTGCTGGTGGATTCCATCAAACATGGCAGTGTAGATCAATTTTTGCAAATGGATTCCATCAAGTTTTGTGGGTGAGTTCCATCAAATATGGTAGTGTAGATCAATTTTTGCAGGTGGATTCCATCAAACATGGCAGTGTAGATCAAGTTTTGCTGGTGGATTCCATCAGGTTTTGTGGGTGGGTTCCATGAAATATGGCAGTGTAGATCAATTTTTGCAGGTGGATTCCATCAAACATGGCAGTACATAGATCACGTTTTTGCTGGTGAGGTCCATCCAACATGGCAACCTAGAAGATCTCTTTTTGCAGGTGGACTCCATCAACCACCACAGTGGAGAAGATTGTATTTATTCAATTGGGAGATTCTTCCATGGTTGATATGTGGCTTGTTTCCGATGTCTGTGTGTTTGGGATATCGTGCTGCACTTACCAAAAAGAAGGACCTTGCATTGCAACACGGCAAGGCTGGTATTGTTAAATCCCCACCTCCTCTCCCTTCCAGTGATGCCTCTTTGATCATTTAAAACGAAGCAGATCATTGTTCTTTCTTCTTAGACTAAGCTTTGACAACAGGTCATACAGATTGAACCACTGTTATTCAGGTGGTGTAAAAGCTGAGTGGGCAGCTCTGGAGTAGCTACGTCAGAATGGTTGAGGTTGTGCTGGGAGGTAATTTTTCTACCTCCCTCTTTAAAAAAAGCCTTCGAGTGAATCGATGTGAACATTAACAATTACAATCAATTAAAGGATTTGAATCGGATTGACCCGGTTTTTGAAATCAATTTGATGAATAGACGAGAGCTGTGGTTTCCACACCTTAACCCAGTGATGGCTAACCTTTTTGTCGTCATGTGGCTGCACCCATAATGCAATGCGTGCGTGACCCCCTGTGGCCCACTCCCCTGCGCATATGTGTGTGACATCTCCCCACCCCCCCATGGCCCTTAGTGGGGGACACCACACCCGCCTGCGGCCTATTTTGGGCCTAGCAGGCCTCCCTGCAGCCTCCTGGGACCAAAAACGGGCCACACACCCCTCCCCATGGCCTGTTTTTGGTCCTAGGAGGCGCAGGGAGGCCTGCTAGGCCCAAAATAGACCGCAGGCAGGTGCGGCGTCCCCCCACGCGGCCCGTCTTTGGTCCCAGGGGGCTGCAGGATGGCCTGCTAGGCCCAAAATGGGCCACAGGCAGGTGTGGTGTCCCCCCCCTGCGGCCTGTTTTTGGTCCCAGGAAGCTGCAGGGAAGCCTGCCAAATCGGGCCACAGAGGGTGCCCCACACACTTCGCATGACCCCTGTACATGACCCCCACACCGTCCTGGGCACGCACGCGCATCTCCCGCATACACCCCGCCCCCGCGCATGCACGGCAGAAAACCGAAAATCAGCTGGCCAGCGGGAGGCGTGCGCAGATGCGGGGTGGAGCTGAGCTGGGTGACGGCTCGCGTGCTCACAGATTTGCCATCACGGCCTTAATCTGTTCTTGTGACTGGAGAAAGAGCATCTTCTTGAGATCAGATAAAATATCTCCATTTTATTATTCCTCCCTTTTGTAAAAATTTGACTTTTTTTTTTTTTTTGCCCTTCTGTTCCAGAGACGCTTGTGTGTTCTCTGAACTGGACCAGCTGTTCCAAGCTGTTTAATTTTTCCATCTCATTAGTTCCCATCACAGAAATGTAATCAAAACTTTGATCTTGCCTCACCCTCCCAAAATAAGGAAGGAAGGAAGGAAGAGGCAAACTTTTTATCCTAGCTTGAAAGAAATAAGAAATAAGAGATGCAAATGCATCATCAATTTTTGAAGTGGTCGCTCCCGTTGCGAACCAGTAGCGGAGGTAAGTAGAACCCACCCCTGTACCGCAGGCCGGTTCTTTGCTGTTTCCAGGGCGGTCCCGCAGGCCAGATCTAAGTACCCCGCGGACCAGATCCGACCCTCGGGCCTTGAGTTTGATACCCCTGTAATAGATGATTAATGTTCCTCTTGCCTAGGAGGCCTGCTAGATAGGTGAACTACACCTCCCAGAATTCCTAGCTACGATAACCATGAGCAGAGAATTCTGGGGATTGAAGTCCACACCCTTCTGGTGGGTACCAAGGAGAGGAACAGTTGTCATCCACACCAGTCGAGCTGAGAAACAGACTGACGTTTGTTTGTGGTTCTCTCTCTCTTAGGTGATCAGGTGACCAGGAAAGGGAAGACAAGGTGGAGATGGAACTGCCAAATCATGCCAAACATTTGCTCCTGCAGCTTAACCAGCAACGAGCCAAAGGTTTCCTTTGCGATGTGATCATTGTTGTCGAAAATGCCCTCTTCCGTGCCCACAAGAACATCCTGGCAGCCAGCAGCATGTACTTCAAGTCCCTCATCTTGCACGACAACTTGATCAATTTAGATACTGACATGGTCAACCCTACCGTGTTCCGGCAAATCTTGGACTTTATTTATACTGGTAAGCTCTTAATGACCGACCAGCCTGGTGAACAGAACTTCAATGCTCTCCTCACCGCAGCAAGCTACCTCCAACTTCCTGACCTGGCGGCCCTTTGTAGGAAGAAGCTCAAACGCAGCGGGAGGTCCTTTGCTGGCCGGGCTGGCGGAGCCTCCAGCGTCGGGCGGCCGCCTCGGAGTCAGAGACTTGCCACCGCTTCAGTCATTACTCGTTATTCAGGGTCAACCGAAGGGATGAAGGGCTCTCAGCCGAAGGAGATGCCAAAGGCGAAGGTCTCGGATGACGAGGTCTTCATGAACAGTTCCAACCAAGAGAATTCTCACGCCTTGAGTAGGGGACTGGGAGAAGGGAGCAACAGCACCAACGGAAGCTGTGTGGACCAGGAACTTGGGCTGGATCTGTCCAAAAAAAGCCCCTCCCTGCCCACTGTCGCCCCCCAAGACGACACCCCACACAGCGAGAGTCAGCGTGGCTCCCCCCGGCCCGCCTCAGCCCCCACCGCCAACAGTGCCTCATCGTTCGAAGAGTCCATCTCTGGAGCCCCTCCCGCCCTAATAGACAACTGCGAGCCCATGGAGATGGACCTCAGCGAAGACCGCCAGTGTCTCCCCGAAGGCAACCAGCGAAAGAGCCTACGCCATTCCTCACGGAAGAAAGAATGGATCAAGAAGGATTGCCCCTTCGACCGGAAGGAGGGCGGGGGCAAAGGCTGCGAGGAGGGTGAGGGGTTACCCAACGGCATCCTGATGGGCCCTTTGTGCAAGTCCGCGGAGCGCAGCCTAGGCCTGAGCCCCTACGGCTCGGAGCTGCCGTTGCACGCCTGCAAAGAAGACGTGGAGAACGGCAAGGAGAACAGCGAGGACAGCGGTCAGAGCGAAGGTGAGAACGGCGGACACAGCAGCGCCAACTACGTCTACCGGCAGGAAGGCTACGAACCCGTGGCCTTCGGGGACAACTTGTATGTCTGTATCCCGTGCGGGAAGGGTTTCCCCAGCTCGGAGCAGCTCAACGCCCACGTGGAGAAACACACGGAAGAAGAGCTGTACATCAAGGAGGAAGGGACGTTCGAGGATAAAGAAGAAGAGGCCGAGGATTTATCAAACCCCAACCAGCCCTACACCTCGGAATCGCGGCCGTTCAAGTGCTCGGTTTGCGAGAAGAGCTACAAAGATCCCGCCACCCTCCGGCAGCACGAGAAGACTCACTGGCTGACGCGGCCCTTCCCGTGCAACATCTGCGGCAAGATGTTCACCCAGCGGGGCACCATGACTCGGCACATGCGCAGCCATTTGGGACTCAAGCCCTTCGCCTGCGAGGAGTGCGGGATGCGCTTCACCCGGCAGTACCGGCTGACCGAGCACATGCGCGTCCACTCAGGGGAAAAGCCCTACGAATGTCAACTGTGCGGCGGGAAATTTACCCAGCAACGAAACCTCATCAGCCACTTGAGAATGCATACCTCTCCTACATGAAGCCAAAGTCTCTCTAAAGGAGCTCTGAGCCCCTCCAACCCACCCACCATAAATATCCCTTAGACTTGCTGCTTTAAAAACAGACTATACAAACAAGGGACGTTTGTCTCCCCTCTTCAGTCATGGAAGGCGTGAACCAAACAGAGCTTTACTTTCTTTCTTTCTCCTCCTTCCCCCGTCTTTTCCCCTTCCCCTCTTCCAAGGAAAAAAAACAAAACCCAACCCCAATTTAACTTCCAGAGTCCTTCCCTTTTGTATCAGCTTTTCTCTCAGGGCCTGGCAACTTTAAGCTTTGCTGTCTGGGGAATTCTGGGAGTTGAGGTCCGCCAGGCTTAAAGTTGCCAACGTTGGAGACCCCCTGGTCAAGGAATAAGTCCTTCCTGGGTTGATGCCGATTCAAATTGAGGGCCCCACAGAAAAGGGAGAGGAGAGGGTAAGATGGTCTTCGCCACGGAAACGAGGACATGGAAACAAGGGACTTCCCCCTCCCTCCCTCCGTTTACTTTCTTAGCACTTTGGAATTGCTATGGTAGAACTTCCACAGTATTATTTTTCTTTCTTCTGACCAACTCCAAGACTACCCTTTAGCGGCCAGTGGATGGCCTTCTTGGTTTTTGTTTTGTTTTTTTCTTTAATCCTTAGGGGGGGGTTAGTTTTTACAATGGACCGGGTTTAAATGGACAGTTGTCCCTCAAAGCTATAATGGGAGAGATGTTCCTTGCCAATGTAGACCAGTTTGTTCTTTCTTCATTCTTTCCTTTGGGGATGGTGGTGGGTCTCTGAAGAACAAACAACATTTTCATTGGCTGAAAGGGACAAAGTCCCATTGCCTCCCGTCCTTGCCCCTCTCCTCGCCCCCCCCCCCCCCCCATTTCTACATGGTGCTTTCCACCTAGGAAGGTTTTCTTCCACCTGTCCCTTCTCCATCAGGTTCTAAGGGAAGAGCTGGTCCGCCTTAACCATCACATCCTAGTCTTCAACGTCGTCTGGTCCAACTTTCCTCCTCAACCTCTTTCGATCTCTCTCTCTAGCCTTATCCATGACTGAATGGGGAGGTGGGGGGGCTGAGTGACACCCTCCCCACCCCAGGAATTTCTTTCAAATGAGCAGGGGTCATATCTGTGTTAATTTCCTTTTCCCCCCCACCCCTTAGTTTTCGTATGGATATTTTTATTTTTATTTTTTTGCTTAGAGGTACTTGTTCTATTAAGAGGAAAACAATGCGTTTGTTCATAATTGATGTAAGTGTCGGAACTGGAAAGCTTGAGGGACTTCGGGGCGGGCAGCGGGAATTGAAGTAGGCTGGAAATGGCTACAAGTTCCTTTAGGTACCTTTTCATTTTTTTTTTTTATTTTTTTTTATTTGGGGTGCACGTGTGGTGTCTGTCCGTCTGTCTGCACGCGTGCACGGATGTATGTGTATGCGTGCACTTAAGCTTTTTCCTCCTTCACTAAAGAGTTGGGTCAGAATGGCAGGGCCCACTTCCTTTTCTACCTCTTGAATTCACAAGAACAATAAGATGGTTAGCGGAAATAATTAGGTGTGGTGTTTTGTCCCGCCCTCCCACCCCCAGCCCTCTTCCCCCCCCCACACCCTACCCCACACCCTATCCCCAGTTGTAAGTTAGTGTACAAAGTAGAAATTAAACTTAAGGTTAAGGGATTTTTGCCACCTCATTCTTTTCCCGTCAGAAAGTCAGAAACGCAAAAGCATGGCCAAAGACGATTAAGTAGACTTTTTTTTTAAGCTGGAGGTCCGGAGAAGATAACGCGGTGCCACCAAATCATTGGGGTTTCTGTTCACAAAAAAAAAAAAAAACCAACACCCCCCCCCTTTTTTTTTTTTTTAGAAAAGAGCTTTTGGGTAGCCTTGTTTATTGAACCTGGATGCCGTGGTGGGGAAAAGCTGCCGTTTCTCCATTGCTTGTCTCTTCGACGGGCTCCAGATAAGACAGTCAACGGCGTAGCCGTTGGTCCCACCGGGATCCAGAGCGCGATAAGAATGTGGAGAACCCAACCAAAGTCTTCTGTTTCCTTCCTTTTTTTGGGGTGTGGGTGGGTGGTAGGGATGTCGACCTGGGTATGTGCTCGTTCCATCTTCATTCTTAAAAGGGATGCACGATGGGTGCACGTCAGTGGTGGGTTTGCTACCAGTTCGGGCGAACCGGTAGCGGCTGCAGGAGGCTCTGCCCACCTGCCCAGACGTCATCAAAAACGCTCTGCGTATGCGCAGAACCTTCTACGCACGCGCAGAAACGCCACGTGCTCGTGAAGCGAGCGCACAAGCCCGCTCGCTACCGATAGTGAACTGGTAGCGCCGGGATTTGAAACCCACTACTGGCGCATGTGTTGAGGTTGGGGCCACCAGGAGATTGAACAGCCATACGCTTGTCTGTCAAAAGACCTCACCGCCAACAGCTGCTATAGGTGTAGGAGATGAGGGCCCTCAACTTCGTTGGCACGACCAGTTAATGGAAAGCGATGGCTGAGCCCCCAACCCTGTACGGGTGGTCTCGGGTGCTTAAAAAAAAAAAAAAAAACACCTGACACCCTCGAGTCTGGAATGGAGTAAGGTTTACATTTCCCGTCCCTCTGCTTTAACTTCCTTGCTTGAAACCATTGTTCTGTTTATGATTGTTTATGATGATGATGGTTAATATGATGATGATGATGATTATGGTAGGGGTCACCAAAGCGCCCTATGTCTTTGTTTTTTTCTTTTTCTTTAAAAAAAACACAAAACAAAAAGGAGAAAAAAAAAAACCTTTTTTGTCTTTAAGTTTAGACAAAAAAAAAAAAGAAAAGAAAAGAAAGTCAGCCTGTTCAAATAAAAGAGAGAAGTTTGCATTTTTCCGTTCTCGCCACCACCGTTAAGTGTTTTCCTCCCCTCTTCTTAGGATAGAGACAAACCCATATTGAATTAAGGGAGCCTAGATTCCCCGTCTCACGCCTTCCAACGACCAACCAATGCAGGGAAATTGGTCCTTTCTTTCCTTCTTAAGGATCTTTACCTCATGTTTCATTTTTCAATTCCGTGCATCCTCAAGTTTCGGGCATTTTTTGTGTAATGCCGCAGCTTGATTTAATCTTTTTTTTTTTTTTTTTTTTTTAGTGGGTCACTCATTTTTGTCTTTAATTTTTCTGGAACATTAATGTGAAAGCTGCGCTTCTTCCTGTGAAATCTTATTTTTTTTCTTTTGTTCCATTTTTCAAAAACTTATTCATCATTCCATGTTTTTCGCAGACAATGCAACACCCCACCGATAACAATAATAACAAAAAAAAAAAAAAAAACCAGCCAGGTCCCCATCAATCCTTTCCTTCAACTTTATGCACACAGCACTGCAACACACTTCCTATTTCCAGATAACTGATGGTGGTCTCCCCGCTGTGTTCTTGAGGGTGGAGACGGTTGCTTCTCGATCGAGCGGTTTCCTCTCATGCTAAGGAGGGTTTTTTGTTAGCAAAAGGGCTTCATGCCAAGACCCCAAAGGTTTCACCAGCTAGGAGGCCCCCATACAATGGCCCAGATGTGTGTAGAACTTCTCAATTCTGTGACTCGCACGGTGCAGCCATCATCTGGCTTTTTGAGAGGAACCTCAATAGATGCTTCACTTCTGGTGCAAAACAAAGAACCTCTCCTCAAGCCGGCATTTGTGGATTAGTTAGTTTGGTGGTAGAAAGCTTCAACGGAACTATCCTTTGTGACCTGGTGCTCAGGGGTGCAGATGTACAATTTTCAAGACTATAAATCTCCAGACTACACTCCCGTTCATCTCCAGACCTTTTCTGACTCTTGAGATGCCTTCAAAAGCCATGCCTTGGGCTAGCAAACTGTAAGGTCTAAAGTTGAGAGTTGAGGATGAATATTTTGTTCCTACCTCGCCATCCTTTCAGAAAAAGGACACTTAATCACACACACACATACACACCAAAACCTATCTTTGTATCCAGAATTGTGGACATTTCTGGGTCCATGACATTCTTTCTGAGATGGTTCCTCTTCCCAGCTGGTATTGATTGACCTTTAGGGCAACTGAGCTGAAGAACTTTAGAAGGCATCGGGGGATAAGGTAGGCCTTTGAGCCAACCCTGGCAAGTATTAATGATTAAGCCAGAAGTTTGGAGGTCCAACTGCCTATGGAAGTGAGTCCTCAACTTCCAAGTGCTACTTACTTCTACATTGCCATCCAGAAAAGGTCCACTTAGTTAAATCCAAAGAAGAGCCCAGCAGCGTGGAACAAGTGCGAAGAACCATTCCTCTTTATTTCGCTGGAATGTTGAGTTTAGATTCAAGCCATTAGGGGTATTGAATCTGGGTGGAGATACTCCAAGATGGGTCTTCGTTGGGTTTCTGATCGAAGTTTTGGAATCTTGAAGTTTCAGGATCCTCAGTCCTTGGGTCGCTTCTTCTTTTTCTTCTTAAGCTTGTTTTTTTTCTTTCTTTCTTTCTTTCATCCCCCTTCTCAGCACTTAAAACAAGGCGACAAAAAGTCTGTGTACAGCACGAGTATTGTACAAAAAAAAAAAAAAGAGGGGGGGGAAAAAAAGGAAAACCCCTCCCTGTTTCTTCTCATCGTTTCACCCCTTTTTCGACAAAATTAGCCGTGTAAGAAGTGTTCCATAGATAGGATTTTGATGTCCCTTCCTCCCGTCTCCTTCCTTTCCCTCTCTCTTCCTCCCAAGATGGTGACAATAATAAAAAAAAATCAATTCTCAAAACTTCAGGGACTGTTCAAGGCTCACTTAGAGTCTGGACACTCGACTGCATTTATACGACATAGTATTGTATCAAGCATTTTCTGTATTTTAATGAAAAAAAAAAAGCAAAAACACTAGTTTCATATTTAAGATTTTAAGAATTCTAGGGATGGGCGGGGAGGGAAATACACTTCGTTCTGGTTTTCGGTTTCTCCTTTCTTTTCGTTCCCTTTTTTTTTTTGCTTTTATTTTATTTTAATTTGCTTTTCTCTCTCTTTTTGAGATACAGAAAAGAGCCTCCTGAGGTTGTTGGGTCTTTAAAAAAAAAAAGAAAAGAAAAAAAATGTAAAATCACAGAGACCCGACAGCTTAACTCTATGCTTTAATCAGTTTAGATCACCAGAATGTTTTCGGAGTTCCCGGAGTGGATTATTATAACAACAACAACAACAAAATAATAACAGAAAAAGTTGTATTAAAAGATAGCTCATACCCAAATTCACACCCACAAAATTCCTATTTTTAAACCAAAGCACATTTTGAATGACTATGGAACCTCACTTGGCTCGGAAAAAAAAATTTTAATATATTTATCTCATTGTTTACATAAACTTTTACAGTTACAGACCTCAACAGATCTAAGGGGCCAGTCAAAATTAATGATGGCTTTTTCCATCGGTTTAGCTGACAAAAGAGTTGCGGGTAAACGGTGTGTAGGATGTGCTTTTTTTGTGCTGTTTTGTAAAGAAAGGGGGAAAAAAAACCACCCGACCTCAACAGTTCAATTAGAACTGATTTGTATTCCAGGATTTTTTTTTAAACGCGGTTTAGGGAGTAGGAAAACGAGCCATTAAGATCTTCAGAAGGACTTTGTGTTCCATCAGCTTTGCTGGTGGCTAGTAGACTAGCAGTCTTCCATCAGAGGATGTTCTTGGACACCGTAGAGCGAGAACGAAGTTCCGTTTGTTCAAAAAAACCCCCAAAAACGATGGTCATGGAAAACCTTGCAACTTTCCATAGCAAGTTGCATATGGTGTTGGACCACAACAAGATCTCAAATCAGATTGGGACAATGGAATGTTTCCTCTGCAAGGGACAGCGGAGATTGTTCACGCATGGTAGAGAACACCCAACAGGAAATCTCTGTTGGAGAAGAAACTAGTGTTTAATGTTAAGTCAGGTGTATCGGGGGTGCTGGTCAACTTGTCGACATTCTTGAAGAATTGTCCCAAAGTATGTGTTTAACCCAGTTTTAACTCCACTAAAAAGATGCAGAAGCTTGTTAGAATGGTCCAATCAATAGCTTTGATCTTGGGGACGAGTCTCAAGAAGTGGCACTGAGGTTTCTTCTCCAGTGCTCAAATGTCCTCTGGTGATGTCCCACAGGTATGACTTTGCTAAGTAAGTGGATATCAGGCTAGGAAGTCTCAATCCCAGGAGACCTGAGATCGTCCAGTTGTTGCCATATTGCAGCACACTTAACATTTGGCAAGATCTGGAACATCTGGAGATCTTTCCTATCTCCTCCAGAATTAGGTGTCCTCTCTAGCTTTAGGATTAGATGTCCTCTCTAGCTTCAGGATTGGTGGTCCTAGCCAAAAAAAAATGTTTTTAAGTTAGATTGATGGTTGTTTCTTTTGGAGGGGGATTCCGGCGAATTTGAGAGTCTTCTCAAATGGCGGCCTTCATATGAGGAGATCCATCTTAACTCTGGTTTGCAATTTGGTGCACTTCCTGGAGAGGGAAAGTGTTTTCACTCGGCATGAGGATATAGTAAACAAGTCTTGCTACACAACAGATATGATCTAAGATGGTTTTCCTCACCAGTCGTTGGTTTTTTCCCCCATTTTTCATGTCTTAACTTTCCTGCTCCAGTGAGTTGGCCAGATTGTGATCTAGATTGAGGGGATCTTAGTCTGGAATGTTCCAGAAATGCACCTTCAAAGTATTATTTTCTTTAATATTTTCACTTTTTTTTTTTTTTGTTGTTGTTAAAGAAAAATCACATTTTATCCGTTCTTCGTTGAGTGCTGTTTTTTCCTCTGGTGGTTTTTTTCCCCACCACGTCCTTTAAAAGCATTTTAAAAAAAAAAATAATAGGCTGAA